ACCTTGAGTGCATAAGGCACCCCAAAACCTTAACCTCGTCTTATAAGATTTGAATTCTTCCTTTACTCATTCTGTTTGCATAATCATGAATGAGTAATAAATTAACATTTGCACCAATTGCATACCTTTGCCTCTAAGCGCACCATGCATAATTAGAGCACAAATAATACTTACAATATAAAATAGTGCACATCATATGAAATTCACAATGTATAACCAAACAATTTAACCTAGTCATCCCTATACATGATACTATGTTCTCGATCCGTCCTTAAACATGCACCTACAAGCAAGGTTTCGTAACTTGTACCAACCTTGAGTAAACGAATTGTTATGCCACTTTACTATCTAGAAATCACCTTCAATAAATTCCTCTCCTAAACCAAACAATAACATCTCAATCAATACCCAATCAATCAAATTTACAGCAATACTAACTTACCTCAAAACCTTCAAAATCCAAATTAAATAATACTTTAAAACCTTCCCTTTAGTTAAAATTAAAGGTTTATATATAGTTCTTTAAATTTTCTTCATAAAAACCTTAAAATACACTCTTATACATAAAATTACAGCAAGTTTAAAGTTTAATAAAAATATTAAAATTATTTTAAAACCCCTAATAATCTACCTTTTTAATGGGTGATTAAACCCTCTTTATGAAACATCAAAAGTTGTACTTAGAAACTATTTCCAACACTTAAAACTTCAATAAAAACATATATTTATTCTTAATTAACTTTAAACATAATTAACTTTATCAATCAAACTCAAGGATAATATTTTAAGTATAAAAAAAACTTCATTAAAATCAAAAACTGCCCAAAAATCATATTTAGAGGCTGAATTTGGCCACGAGAGGGTGGTGCTCACTACCAAAGGTAGTGGGTCTTTCTTAAAATTTTGTTTCCAAATGAAAAACACTACTTTTTCATCAAAATAGTATGAGTTCAAAACCTGATCGGGATTACAACGAGATTAATATTAACGAACGGAAATCTAAATATTAAAATACGAATTTAAGTGTTCAAAATAATCTGGAATTAAGTTAAACTACTCATTAGTGATAATCACCAAAATTTCAAAACATCATTACTATAAAAGCCCTAAATCAATTGTTCATAAAAACCCTTAAATCATGATTTTCAATAATTAAAAACCCTAGGTTATAAAATTTACAAAATCTGAAAATTATGACCATTTATAAAATCTGAAATTATAAAGTTTAATCATCAAAATACAATTTGAGACTAGTTAAATTAATTTTAAACAATAAAATCAAAACCCATAAATCAATAATTATAATTACACAAATTAATAAAACAAAGGAGAAAATAAGACTAACCTTTTTGTGTGAGAAAATTTTTGGGGATTCATGGGGTATTTATAGGAGAGAATTGTAGGGTAAATAGGAAGATTGGGCCTGTAGGGTATAAATTTCAAGCGTTAACCCCTAGCTTGAACCCCATTGTGATCCTACACTCAAGTACAGTGGCGTCCAAAGGGAAAAAAGATAGAGCAAAAGAGTCGCCAACAAGTTTTAGGAACTTGTAAACCGTTCACAGGATGAAGGTTACACCCTTAACGATCCAAGAGATCGTCAACTTCATAAGGTCTAGAACCAAATAAGGGTTCGGGGATGAAGGTACAAATTCAACCTAAAAGAGATTGAACCTGCCCTAATAATAGGCCTCTACTTTATTCTGATCGTATTCATGTGCGCTTTCTAACTAACATGAAATCAATAAGATTTAACCCTAAACCTTTTTATCGATGTTGGTTGAATATTAATGCACAAATAAAACTATTATTGGCGATCACTTGAATTGTAATCATAATATCCCTAAACAAGATTATTAATTATCTTATTAAGCGTGATTACAAGAACTAAAATTCCCTTTAAACATGCATAAAAGGCGTGATCAAGCAATAAATAAAATATAATGTATCAAGCAACATAATAATAATAAATGTCATCATCATAAAATTATAATCATAATAAAAATAAATTATAATTAAAACAATCATAATAATAACAATTATAATAAATATTATAATCATAAAATCATAATCATAACAATCATAATTAATAATAACTATAATAATCATAATAATAACTATAATAATATTCATATTAAAGCACAATAATAATAGCAAGATCCTAGGCATGATACTAACAAGATTAATAACAAACCCTAGCATGTCATTAAGCAATAAAAATCAAATCTTTAACACTAACATGATACTAACAATCATAAATTTTAGGAAGAACATAAAAGGCATCGTACTTTTAATCATACTTGATATTAAAGCTACCCTAGACATGATACCAGGAATATCATAAACAATCTAAACATGATCTCTATATCATAATATCAATAAAACCATTAAAGTACTTACTTTGATGCCTCGTACCTCTTTCTAATAACAAAATACACACGTTAGTAAATTCAAAGAAAATATAAAACAACAATTAAATTAAATAATTGAAATAGAGATTTGGGACCAAACCCTCATAAATTAAACCTTTCACGTCTAGGGTGAAGGCAACTTCGAATATGGCTAGGTGTTTCTAGATCTAATGAATGCGGAATTTTGTATTTGAAAAGCAAGTTCAGAAAAAGAAGAGAGAGAAAGATGGTGAATGAGAAGAGAATGAGAGAATTGATGAATGAAAATTGGTTGTAGGTGCTTGAAAACGGAGTTTTTACGACGTTATTTATAGAGAAAATCAGCCAAAAAGATAAAATATCAAAACAGAGCATTGGCGCACCTAAAACAGAGCTGGCGCCAACGCTGGCTTATTGGCGCCAGGCGCCAACATTAGCGCCAGGCGCCAGACGCCAATGCCTGGCGTCAGGCGCTAACCCTGTTTTTGACGCGTTTTCTAAAATTAGATAAATTTTGCCGTACAGGAGGATAAAATCGTATCTTTTTCTCAAAAATGTTCTTTGATTTTAATTAAAACTCCGAAAAGTCAACAAAAGTCAAATTATCAATGCTAATTGAATTAGGAATGAAAAGAACCTTCTAGAAGAATCTAGAAGACTAAAACCATTCCTAATTGCATTAGGAATGATAAATCATATTAGGCCCTCCCCTAGATCATTGGGCCGCATATAAGGCTCAAACCGGGCCCAGTTCGGTAAAATTGGCCATAACTTCCTCAATATTCATCGAAATTGGGCTTATAATATATCGTTGGAAAGCTCTTGTCAAGCCCCATCCAACTACACTACTATTGGACCCATATCATGGACCAACCAAACTGGATTGACTATTTTCTTAAAATAATTTTTCAAAAAACAGAGAGAATAGAAAAGAAATTAAAACTATCCGCAACACTAGACTTTCCACACTTTCACTTTATTCGATTATGATTCTACGTGTAAGGTACTCATCACTGGGTTTGGTTTTGGGGAGACACAAATGGGTGTCTACAGGGCCTCATAAAAATAATGGGTCGATTAAGTAAACAAATGGGTTAGGCTTGTGTGATTGGACATAAATTGTAGAATAAAGGTACATAAAATAATTTGTTCAAATAATTTTCGACCCAGATTAATAATTTGAAACTTTTTTAATTAAATTATGAAAAATAACAAATAAATATTATAAATAAAATAAATTTTCATTTATAAAATATTTAAAAATACGGGGGATTACAACCAAAATCTCATAAACGGGCCTGCATGTTACTACATCAACAAAATATGCTAAGTACGCGAACGTACTTCAAATAAGCTCTTAAAATAGCCGAGTTCACTACAACACTTCCCGAACCAAGTCCTCTACATAAAGGGACAATAATACTATATTTATTACCCTTGTATACACTATTTCTAGCAACTTAAACTCACTTTAAATAACGTATTATGATCTGAAAATTATTTTTAAACCCTTAAGGGGATGTTTGGTTTACATAGCTAAGGTATAAGGTATGGGTTTGGAATGGTTTAAACCCATACCTTATATTTGTTTTATGATTTTATGAGTTTCAAACTCATACCTCAAATCCCCAAGGTATGGGGTTTAGAAACCTTGGGGGGAGGTGGGTTTGGCTCATTCCCATACATTTAGGCATTAAATAAAAGAAAAACATTGCATTTTATGATCATACCAAACATATGGTATTAAGAATCAAGTTCCAAACTCATACCGCTATGGTTTCATTCCAGATTCCAACCCCATACCAGTTTGTGAACTAAACGCCCCCTAATTAGTCTCTCTTTCATTGGGTAATTAAACCCTTTTATTAAAATCACAATTTTACTACTTTAAATAAAATTCCAGCAATAATACTTTGTTAAAAACTCCTTAAAAAACTCATCAAATCATATCTTTATACTTAGTTACTAATCAGAATTAATGGGTATTCAAAACCCCCAAATCAATTTATGAAAGAACCCTAAAAATCCCATCTTTAATATTTCAAAAACCCAAACTTTATAAAGTATGAAATATGAATAATGAAACCAAACCAACAATCTGAAATTTTAATTTATAACCATCAAAATAAAAACTAATTAAACAATTTTCAATAATAAAAATCCAAAACCAATACTAATATATATAATTATACAAATTAAAGAAATAAAACCAAAATAGGAAGAGAGATGAGAAAGAGGTGATGAACGGATGGTGGAGGTGATGGACAGCCAGCAGACGGCGGCTGGCTGACGGTAGGTGGGCTGCTGGGCGGCGCCGATTTCCGGCTGGTGGAAGAGAAGCAGCAGCAATAGACTCGCGCATGAACAAGGTCGATGTGTCGCATTATGGAAGATAAAGGGGAAAGAAAGGAGGGCAGTGGCGGAGCCAGGATTTTCAACTTGGGGGACAAAATGCTTAACTTACGAAAAGCTTAACAAAAAAAAAAAACAAAAAAAAAAACTCACACACAAATTGGTTAATACTTAATATTAAAATTTCAAAATAAAAATATATACTTAGTCATACAATTCAAAATGATGAAAAAAAATTACATAAACATTACATTAAAATTACAAGTTCATTCTTCGAGTCTTCATACTTTGAAATCGATCAATAATCTTTTCGTCGGAAACTCGTAAGAAGACATCCTTCTCAATAAAAGTGACCAAACAATCATTCATAAGTTGATCACCCATGCTATTTCGCAACTTGTTTTTGACACATGTCATTGCAGAAAACACTCTTTCAACACTTGCCGTGGCAACGGGAAGAATCAACATCAACTTGATAAGCAAATGAATAAGAGGAAAAGTCTTATGCTTATTGGTTTTAACAAGCATCATAGAAAGAGAATTAAGGTCATTTAAACCTTGAAATCTTTCATCATTTAGCATATTCTCCATGAATACATCAAGTTGATATTCAAGAGCCATCAAATCAAAGCTTGAAAATTCTTCGGGATAAAAAGAGGCAAGTTTAAGTACCTTATCTTTATCAAAGGATGAGAAGTTATCTTTAGGACTTAAACAAGCCATACATAATAGTAACTCCATATTCCTCTCATTAAATCGTTCATCAAGTTCTTGAAGATGCAAATCAATTAGTCTTAAGAAAATTCCAACCCGAAAATGATGTTCATTTGTTGCTTCTTCAACAAAACGTCTTGATCTTCCATGAGGAACATAAAGAGAATCCATAGTGGGAATAACAACACCATGTTTAGTGCAAAATGAAGTTACCTTGTTTAAGAGAGTATCCCATCCTCGCTCCCTCATTTTTTGCAACACCGTTTTTGTATAAGTGACAAGTTCCATGGCATTTACAATATCTTGCTCCTTTCTTTGCAAAGCAACACACAAATCATTAGTGTATCCAAAAATAGTCAACATCAAGTGAGCAACAAAAATAAAGTCAAATGACTCTAATTGTCCTAAAACAATTTGAGCTTTGAACTTATCTTCCGATGCACCATGCTTCCCAATTTGTACAAGCACCTTAATAATTGTAGGAAATAAGAGGATGACATTTAAAAGTGACTTGTAATGAGAACTCCAACGAGTATCCCCGGGCCTACTCAAACCAAGTTCTTGATTTAAACCCGATCCACTCACAATATCCCCAACATCCAAGGCTCGAGCAACTTCTTGAGCTTGATCTTGACGAATCATTTCTCTTCTCTTGCAAGAAACTCCAACCACATTCAACAAATTTCCAAGTATCTCGAAAAGCCAACCACAACTATCATTCTTTTTAGCAACGGCAACTAATGTTAGTTGAAGTTGATGAGCAAAACAATGTATATAGTAGGCACTTGGAGTATCATTCATAATCAAAGTCTTAAGGCCATTTATTTCACCCTTCATGTTGCTAGCTCCATCATACCCTTGCCCTCTTATCATAGATGGGCTCAATGAATGTTCAACAAGTAAAGACATGATTGCATCTTTAAGAGTTAAAGCGGTAGTATTAGCAACATGAACAATGCCTAAAAATCGCTCCATTACCTTTCCACTATCTCTATCAACAAAACGCAAAACAAGAGCTAGTTGTTCTTTTTGGGACACATCACTTGACTCATCGGCCAATATAGCAAAATAATCATCACCAACTTCTTCTATTATGCACCTAGTTGTTTCTTTGGCACAACAATTAATAATGTCCTTTTGAATAGGAGGGGAAGTCATTTGACAATTTTTAGGTGCATTTTCAAGAGTATGTATCCTTACTTCCTCAACCTTTTCTCCTAACCACTTCAAAAGCTCAAGGAAATTACCCCTATTATATGACTCCCCACTTTCATCATGTCCACGAAATGCCAAACCTTGCCCCAAAAGAAATCTTAAACAAGATAAAGATGCTTTCAAGCGGATAAAATATTCACTTTTAATCACATCACTTGCATTGTCAATCACATTCAAGATTGATTTCTTTTTTTCATCTCTTAAATTCACATATTTCTCATAAGCAAGATTATGAGCACTTTTAATTCCACCAACATGCTTCTCAAATCTTTTCGGTTTATTCCATGCCCTAAACCCTCCATCAACAAATGCATCACCCCCCGGTTTAATACCAACTTCATTCTTGAACAAGTAACATACAAAACAAAATGCAGCATCTTTTTCAATACTATATTCAAGCCAATCCCATTTGTTGAACCAATGAACACTAAAGCGACGCAAACCAGACACTTGTCTTGTAGGGAAGTCATGAGTTTTTTGGTTGGCAAGGTTTTTTAAGAATATAACCCCTCCTAACAGCATTTCGTTCATTTGCGGGGTAATCCATAATGTTTATTCTTTTTCCCGGATCATGAGGAAGAAGTTCAACATCATACACAGAATCTTCCTTTAATGGTACATTACTATTACTTGAACCACCCATTTCCATACTATTTTCTTGACTTTGAGGGGAGCTAAATGAAGGTGAGTTATTGGACTCAGTTTCATTGGACTCATTTTCATTGAGTCTTGTTCTTTTAAACAAGAATTGTCGAAGATCGGGTTGTTTAGTTGTCTTGGATTTGTTTGAACTTGGTGAATCTTTTGATATATCCTAGTTAAATCGAAAATTATATATCAATTTCCACAAGACCACAATCCACATCATTACATAATAACAAAACCTAAGATTTTAAATTTCTAATTCAACTACACATTTCAATAATTTACAATAATTAATAATTTAAATTCACATTTCACAAAAACAACCAAACACTCAAACAGGGGAAACATTCAAACAATCAAACAAATATAAATCAATAATCATTTATCAATTCAATAATCAATACCCACAAGGCCACAAATGACAAATTCACAATAAAAATATAAATTATAAAACAATTAAACATTTAAACAAGTAATGAAATTCACTTAATTCAGATTTACATAATTACATAATCAATTAATCATACCTCCATTGAAATTCACAGTAAATCTATAAATGCGAATTGCGAAGTTGCCGACTTGCGAACTGCTGCTGCAAACACTTTACACTTGAACACCAAACGTCCAAACTGCTGGCTGTGCTGCGGTGGCGCGGTGCTGGGCTGCTGGCTTGCTACTGGAAACAGAAAACACGAACTCAAGATTCACGAAGACACGATTCACACGAATTGAAGGCTCAAGGTTTAGGCTGTCCGCTGTCGTCTGTCGAACCTCGTCACTGGCCTCACTGCAGCGAACTGCCGGAGAACGGTGGACAGCGTCAGGCGACTCCGGCGAGGTGAGGGCGAATCGAAGAGAGAGAAATTAAAAATTGAAAGACTTAGGGTTTGGCTGCAAATGTCGCACAGAGCACTGAAGCACTCTGTATTTCTGTAATTGCGTTTTTTTTGTTTTTTTTTTTAAATTTTTTTTTTAATTTTTTTTTTTGAAAATGGGGGGACAAGTGTCCCCACTCGTCCCCTTCTAGCTCCGCCCTGAAGGAGGGTGTGCCACATGAGACCGTTTGGGCGGTCGACGGTGAATGATGGTGGAGGGTCGCCGACGGTGGTCGTCAGGCGGCGTGGAAGGGCAGCGATCATCAAGGCTGCGGGTTGTGTGAAATTACACACATGAAAAACCCACGGGAAAGGGAAAGGGGAAAAGAAAGAAAGAGAAAAAGAAAAGGAAATAGATCCACTTTCACCATTTGACTTTTTATGTGTGGGAAATTTTGGGGATTTAAGAGCTATTTATATTGTAGGGTAAATTAATGATATTTGAGATTATATGAGATAATACAAGGGAGAGATAATTGGCCCTAATAATTAAAAGAATGATTGGGCGTGTTGTAGACATAAGTTGTAATTTTGTAGAGTAAGAATTGATCAACTTAAAACTCATTTTATTTAAATCCCATACTTAAAACAATTTGACCCAAAAAGAATATATATATTTTATAAATAAATAAATAATTTATAAAATACATTAAAAATATGAGGTATTACAAGTAACAAGAGCGGCTACCCCTTAATACTCTGGAACAAGGTAACGTATTTGACTTGCTGACAAAGAATAATATTCGCCTCAACTCCCACAAAAATCAATAAGAAACTAAGTCAGTTGCCCACAAAAATCAATAAGAAGTGAAGTCGTCAATTGCCCACAAAAATCAGTAAGCCATTTTTATCACCATAATTTCCTCCATAAATCTATCCACCTCCATTAAAATTACTTGAGAGCCACCATTTCTACAATCATATTTCTGGTGGCTTTGCCATAATTAAAGAAATTGGGGGCGTTTGGGTCGCGGATTATAGGTATGAGAAATGAGTTTAGAATGACCAAAATACATACCATATGTTTTGTTGTCAAAAATATGATTTTTAAACCTATACCTCAAACCCATGAGGTTTGGGCTTTAGAAACCTTGGGGGGAGGTGGGTTTGGCTCATTCCATTCCCTTAAGTATCAAATACATGAAATTAAGGGATGATATTCCATTCTAGAATTGAACCAAATGTGGTACCTGGTTTTTAGTGGACAAAGATTAGTCTATAAAAGGTTCCACTTAAGTGTCTGATAAGACTTATAATTAAAAAAACTTAGAGTTGCCACCTCATTTTTATCCGAATAAGGACGAATTTAAAAAAAAAAAGTCAATTTAAAGAAATAAATCTAAAAAAAAAAAATCAACTGCTAACTCCATGAAAAGAAATAAGGCACAAGGTTCGGGGTTTAGGTTAAGAGAATCGAACGTCTGGAACTCGTCTTCCCTTCCGTTCTAAGGAACGGGCTCTTACTATTGCGTTGTTAAAAATCAAGTTTTAAGACATGTAAACCAAAAAAAAATTAATTTAAGGTAGGTTTGAGCACCAAAGTTGCACTACGTACCGATCATAATGAGATTTTAAATTCACTCACGGATCAATTACCTTCGTAGTTCAGACAGGTGCTATGATTTAAACAACCAATTCCATTGGGTTTTTTATTTGGGTAGTTGATATAAATGTCATTTTTGTAAGTGGGATTTTAGTGATCTTTGACGGATTCACTCATAAAAGTAAAATGAACCACTTTGGTTGAGGAAAAATCACCCCTATTAGTATAGTGATCACCAAAAATGTCTTTTGAACTAGACAATTCAACAAATGCGTTCCAATTGACGACTTTTAAGTGGGTCAAGGTATTTCTTTTGGAGTGAAAATGTAAGGGTTCACTATATAATCTCACTTTGGGTTTCAAATTCACTCAAGGGTAATTTTTGTAAGGTTTTAAGGGTTATGTGTTTAGGCTTAATGGAATTGGCCAAGTAAAACACGACACCTGTCAAGGCCTTACTTCCAAATAAAAGGGAACAATAAACTATTTAATCATATCCGATTTTCAATTAATCCATCGGGTAATTATGATAGGATATTAGTTTATTTTTGTGGAGATGGATAATTGTTACTATACAACCTTATACAACTAAATAATTAATCTTAACCTCATGTTTGGAAATGAGGCCATAACCTCATATTAACTATCATTACTTGTTAAAAACAAACAAGCAAAGTTATGATTCATTCTTGTGTTACAAAAGAATTTGAAATAAAAAGGTTCACGAAATTATAACAGAAAACAATGTTTGCTAAAACTTTTATTTCTGAAGTCATCTTGAAATAAAATTAAAGTCCTTAAGACATCATTTAATAAGATTAAAGATTTTTAAAATAGCGACATTTAGAATTAAAGGCTCTTATTTCTGAAGTCTTCTTTAAAATAAGATTAAAGTTTCTTAAAAAACACTTAGAATTAAGGCTTGTTAAAACTCTTATTTCTAAAATCATTTTTAAAATAAGATTAAAGACATTTTAATTAAAACTTCGTAAGTTAAGGAGTATATATATATATATATATATATATATATATATATATATATGTATATATATATATATATATGTATAATATAGTGTAATATAGGTTTCATACCACCATTAGTTTCTTAAAAAGAAATTAATACAATTTAAAAAAAAAGCAATTAAGAGAAAAACGTGCATATTTCATCTCTTTGATAGCTTGAACTAAAAAAAACATTAAATATCATAGAAAAATCGAAAAAATTATTGTGAGATATGGTTGAAAAGCTCTTGAAAAGTTCTATCACTTGAGCTAAAGAAATGAAACTGATTCTGGTCGTAAGGGTTACTTCACAGGCCATCTTAGGGACGTGGTAAATAATTCTTTACTCTTGAACAACCTTTGCTTAAACTCTTAACTCCTTAGGTCTTTAAGCTCACTTTAAGAAATAAATCATTTTTTAAATATATATTAGGCAGTCACGTTGATGTATTAACCTTTCATATTTAAAATGCATTATAAAGAGATACAATGCAAAATGCAATTAACCCCCCCACTTTGTAACCTATCACCTCACCAATAGGCTTGGCTTTCTAATGTGGAGTAAGGAAAGATTTAGGGCTAATTTAGCACCTAATATCGTCATTACCCCTATTGGTAACATCACATGAAAACAAACACATTAGTTAGCATAATAATAATAATTAAGGAAATTAAGAAAGGAATGAAGATAATACCTTGAACTAGATGTAGCAATTTTTTGGATAACCCTTCTTACTTATCAAGGATGAAAAGATGATCACTCCTTAATTAAAATGCAATAAAAGAGACTAAATGATTTTTTTTTTTGAGTTTTGAGATATTAAAGGAAATTAATGCAAAAATAAAGCTAAAGAACTTTTTTTTTATTTTTTGATTAGAGAAAATAAACTTGAAAAATAAAGCTAAATCTTGAGAAACAAACCTTTTTTTTGTTTTTAATATAGGCTAGGAATACTTAAGAAATTTAACTAATATTTTTTGACAAGGATAATAAAGAAAAATAAAGCTTGAACTTGAAATATATTTGTGTTTTTTTGAATAGGAATTAAAGATGATAACAATTGATTAGGGGATTTTGCTCCCACCAATCGGAATGCGTCACGTGGGCCAATCAGGTCCTGCCAAGTGTCCCCCAGTTTGACCTCTCATGGCTTGCCACGTGGCACGCGCTTATTCGTCCACATTGGACCTATTATGCCATGACATATGGCATACTCCATGCCTAATGGAGAACCCGGTCACCTAGGCCCAATTTCCGAGGGAAGCCCAATCAGCCCAAGGTTAACCTAAACCTAGATTGGCACGTTTCCCGAGGCTATAAATACCTCCCTAAATCCTCATTAAGAGGGGGATTACACACAATAAACACTCTCACCTAGAGAGACTCAATCACTTTAATTTCCGCATTAATAACTCCTTAATCAAGTACTAACTTGACCGTCGGAGGCGGAGCTCCC